CCAGCCAGCAAAGGCGACTCCAGCCCACGGCAGGAGCTGCCCCGGCCTCCCTGGGCCCTTGCCAGGACTTGCTGGACTCCTGCCCGCTGCTCGGGGCACAGCTCCTGCCAGGGTGGCCGGCTGCCCAGAAAAGCCTTCCTCCCCCCTTTGAGGATGGGGTGCTCGGGCACCCCGTCTCACGGGGAACCCAGCCCTCTCCCTACCGTATGGTCCCCCGGAAGGCGGACTTGAGTGGTGTGGAGCCGACATACAGGATGTGCACCTTGGCAAAGCGAGAGTTAATGCTGCAAACCTGCCCGGAGGAGAAGGGGAATCAGTGCCAGCATCAGCCTGCTCTCACCCCAGCGTACCCCACCTCAGGCAGGGAAAGGGCAGGGTGCAGGCAGGACAGGGCTGTATGCAGGGAGCTCGTGTCTCACTCAGCCTCCTCTTCGTCCTCCTTGTGACCAAAGTAGCGGTGGTGGAGGTGGGACAGCCGGCAGTGAGCCAGGCGAGCAAGATGATACTTGTGCAACTCAAGACACGCTCAAGAATAGGGCTGAGACCTGCTGTGACCCTGGTCCTTCTCCCACCATCAGGACCGTAAGGAAACTAGTCCCTGCTCTGTGTCACCCCTTCTCCAAGCTGCCCCAGGCACTGCCCTCCATGCACCCCACCCCAGGAAGAGTTCTGGAAGGGAAAGCAAAGAAAAACCTCCCCTCAGCCTGCCTCAGTCTCGGGGCAGACGACAAGTGCAGGGAATGTCAAGAGGCAGGTGTCCCCCGTACCAGTATCTGGCTTCTTTACGAGCAAGGGACCCAAGGGAGTCATACAGAGGGTGCTAATGAACCCAGGGGCTCCTCATCCCACCCCGTATGTGCGCAGGAACAAAGGTCAGCACAAGGCAGAGAAAAGGCTGTGCAGTTTGGCATCACAGTCCACTCCGGCACCCTACCTTGCATGTTACCACAGCCCCCACGTCGGGCAGGAGCTGGGACTCTGCATCTCTCACCACTGATACGACGGGCAGCTGCAGGGCAGAAGGCACGAGGGTTAGCTCGGGGCACAGCCCGTGCACAGGAGTGCACAGGACCAGGCTCACAGCAGGCA